TAATATTAATATAATATTAATATAATGTAACATTAATATAATGTAATATTAATATAATGTAATGTTAATATAATGTTAATATAATGTAACATTAATATAATGTAATGTTAATATAATGTTAATATAATGTAACATTAATATAATGTAATATTAATATAACGTTAATATAATGTAACATTAATATAATGTAATATTAATATAATATTAATATAATGTAATATTAATATAATGTAATATTAATATAATATTAATATAATGTAATATTAATGTAACATTAATATAATGTAATATTAATATAACATTAATATTAATATAATATAATATTAATATATTAATGCTTGTCAAATAGGTTGTGAGGCGGGAAAGTGAAATCAGAGGCTTTATAGCTACAGAAGGAAACCTAACATTAAATGACAATGTAGTTATATTTTGTTTTTATCTTTTATTGGTATGTTAAACATTTATGTTTTAACTGTTTACAACAGCTGTGGCTAAGTGTCAGATGTTTTCCCACTGGTAAAGGATAAGAGAGATGTTTTCTAATAGCAATATTAATAGCAAACAGCTTCTAATATCTCATTCATAAACAGTTACATATACAGTTAATTAATACCTCTCTAACACTGTCAATCAAAGCTGAACATCATTATCTTACTGAAGGTAGAATTTATGGCAGAGCTGTAGTGGACTGTTTCATATTTCTTATTTTAGGATCTTTCTGTATTTGTTTACTTCTCTGAATAACTCTGTCTAGTATTCATTGTCTTTACCATAGATCGTGATGTTCATTTGCAGGTTATGTGAAATGTAAGCATTGGCGACTTTAGATACAACTTGTGTTTCCACTGAATCAGCAATGGGCTGATGGGCTTATGGTGTTTATATTTTGACGTTTCTTTTATTCGTTGTTTAAATCCACTTAATTAAGGGAATACCATGTTTGCTGTTGTTTTGAGGAGCTAGCTGAACACAAAGCCATGTTTTTTACATCTATGACTGAAACTTCAGACTCTATAGCAAAGCACTGGAAGTTTGTTTAAATTATAAACAATCAGTTACATTGAAGCAACATTATGTAAGATTTGGTATTTGTTGCATTTTGGTTCCCCCAGTCGCAATACCGCTGTCATAAATATGAGCAGCTGTACACGTGCATTTGTTATGATTACATTACAACCTTTCTAACACAGACAAACACCAGTGCAACGCCACAAGACGTAGCAAGCCAGCTAAAAGTACTGACTAGTCAAACATCCAGAAGGCCGTCTCACCGTCTGTCTGCAGCCTGGACTAAAAGACAATCTGAACTGTACTCGTGTCTGAGGAACTCTCCCTCCTTTTCTCTTCTTGGCGTCGTCCTCTCAGCTCTCGTCGTCTCCAGCGGCGCCTCTTGTTCCCACCCAGAAGAGGGAAGAGGCGCCATTCAGCCTACGACATCTCAGTGTAGCATCAACGTGATTTTAAAGCTGTTATTTATCATATGTTCACATCAATGTCTATTTTGTATACCAAGATGTCTGATAACTGTCTTTTCACTCTCAATAATCTGCAGACGTTGACATCCAGTAATGTATGTTTCTTTTAATTCTGGTGTGTTGCAGCATGGACGAGAGAGGGGATAGTAATCTGTGCATTGACACGGACTCGGACACAGCAGAGAGGAAGGATGGTAGCAAGTGCAAAGTCAAATGGACTCTGGAAGAGGTGAATGAAAATAAGACTTAATAACTGAGTCCTTACAACAACACATTCATCGGTTCTTTTATTATCTGCAGCAGCGCACTATATTTTTAAGTAGTTTATCACATTATTGAAGCAGAGGTGCAAAATAATGCTTAGGAATTTTTCCACATACGTTTCTGTTGATGAGTGAGTTCACTAGTTATCGTCGATGCAATGTTAACCTGTACGTGAAAGCTGACCTTAAATAATACTGTATCTGAACTGATTTGTTCTTGTGTGCAGGATGAAAATCTAAAAATCCTCATCAGCAACTTTGGGAAGAAAGATTGGAAAACGATTGCCAGTTTTTTGCCCGTAAGTACTCGGCAGAATCAAAATCAATTGAGTAAGAAAGAGTGAGTCAGCAGTGTAAACTTCTGAAGTTTAATAAAACAGGAGAAAGCCAAAGGGCTTACAACATTGTGTCGTTGTGTCGTTGAAGTTATAAAATGCTAATCTCTGTATTCTACCCAATCTTTCCATGTTGAGTTATCTTCTTCTTGGATAATAATGACATTTCCTGTCGACAGGGACGCACAGAATTCCAGTGTTTGCACCGCTGGAAAAAGCACCTGGATCCTGATTTAGTCAAAGGTTTCTGGTCCAAAGAGGAAGATGAAAAGGTAGAAAAACTCCACAGAGCTGATACAGAGTTAGCTTAAACATAGTAATTAATTCTGTCCTATCTCACTCGGACTCACTGTACTTATGTGTTTACTAATGTATTTGCTGTGACAGATAGTAGAGCTGGTGGGCAGGTACGGCACTAAACACTGGTCTTTGATTGCCAAGCACTTGAAGGGGCGGATGGGGAAACAGTGTCGTGAGCGCTGGCACAACCACCTCGATCCACTGGTCAAAAAGAGCTCCTGGACCAACGAGGAAGACCTGATCATCTACAAAGCCCACTCTATTATGGGGAACCGCTGGGCTGAGATTGCTAAGCTGCTCCCTGGAAGGTGGGTTGGTGACATTAACAAGGTGGATGATGTGCAGTGAAATGCGTTACTTGGTTGTTATTCTTAAAACAACAGGGTGAACGTAGCAACGTGTCTCCCTCTTTGAACCAGGGTCACTGAGGCTTTACTGTATATTTTCTATTCCCCTTGCAGGACAGACAATTCAGTGAAAAATCACTGGAACTGCTCCATCAAACGTAAAGCAGAGTTGGGCTTGTACAAAGACGACGCTGACAGCATTTCCCTTGATATTCAGCAGTTTGTGGAAGGAGAGGTACAGTACTTATTGAGTTTAACACGTACTGTATAAAGCTGTTTGTTCTCAGCTTTTACCAATTTACAGCAATTAGTAATAGATTATATATTAAATAAAATGGTTAATAGATTTAGATAGTTGATTAATCATTGTAGGGATGTAGCAACTAAATGTTTGTTGGTTACAGTTACAAAAAGATAGAGCAGTATAAAGCTATTTGCTACATGTTATGAAATCACAACCATTATACTATCTAATCGTTATGTGGCTGTTCAGACTGAAAGAAAAAGAAACGCTGTTGTGTTTTTTCACTCTTGTTCCTTCACATTATATGTTGTGTTACAGGTGGACTTCAAGTGTGACGTTGTGATAGACACTGAACCCGTCACTCCTATAGTGGTGAGCTTTTGATTTTCTTTTATGACTCAGCTGTTGTTGCTTTTAAACTTTTATCTAAAGTAAAACATACAAACTTCACAGCTACCTCAGTTGAATAAATACCTCCCAAACAATTCAGTAATCAGTGTAGATATCAAGTATAGACTTGATTTTTAGAGTTCCTGAATGTTTTTTATATTTTCGTCCATGATCTTTTCAGCTGGTAAGCTTGGTTTCACTCTCCTGCTCTTTGCTTTGCTTCAGGTCAGGCCAAAGAAAGAGAAGAAGCAGAAGGAACCTCCGACAGCCAAAGGGAAGATGGCTTTTCAGCTTTCACAGACCTTAGCATCCAGGAGAGAGTTCTCTTCCCCCAGTCCCTCGTTGCCCCCCAGTTCAAGTTCCAGCCCCAGCTCCAGCTCAGGTGCTGCTCCAGCTGGCCCAGTGGACCAGAAAAAGCTTGTTGATGCAGCACTAAGGATGATCGCAGAGGACATGCTGCCACTCAGGTGACTTGTACTGCTAGTGGCGATTACAGTGTCCATGTTGGGTTGTTGTTCAAAGTTTGTTAATCACCAAGTCAAAGAAACATTTATGTCGTCAGACTTTAAAGCGAGCGTCCTCACCAGTCTAGATCACCATCATAATTAGAAAATGTATCTTCACTTTGTTCCTCACAGTTTTGTTGAAGGTGCAGGCTTTAGGTCCTTCATGAGTACCATCAGCCCTGAATACAACAAGCTCTCCCCGCGTGTCATGGGCCTCCAGCTGTATGACGACGTGGAGAGAACCATAAAGCCTCAGCTCATCCGTGACCTTAAAGCCTGCCTTGCCACAACCAAAGATGGTGAGAGCGCCATTCATGTCACCATTGACCTGTGGGCAGGGGATCAGTCCCATCCAGTGGAGGAGCCCATCGTCGTCGTGCAGCTCCACTTTGTCAGTGACTCCTGGCAGATCCGCCGTCCCGTTGTGGCCTTCCGTCACCTCGCCCACAAAGATCTCAGCGCGGCTGTGGCCAGGGAGCTCGAAGGTGTGCTGCTGAGCTACGGCATCTTTTCTCGCAGCATTGGCTACGTCCTCGCCAATCAAGCCAAAGAAACCCTGGCTGGGAACAACTTGTTCTGCGACTACAAGATCATGTGTTCATCCAACAGAGGAGAAGCAGATGGAGATGAGATCGTGGCATTTCTATCAGACCAGACGTCTGAAGCAGAGTCCCCGTTTTCAGAGCTGCAGATTGGGACCAGGACCGGCTGTGTGGCCAACACGCTGCAGCTTGTGATTAAGGACGCACTGAAGAACTCCAGGGTTGTGGAAAACCTGCTGTCACAGGTCCACAATGTGGTGGCTTTCTTCAGGAGCAGCGCCTACTGGAGCGAGGTACGAGAAACTAAACAGATTAAAAAACTAATTGTGCAAGTGTATTTCACACTGCATTATATTGTTTTTGCAAAGATGTATATAATCCAGGAGAGTCTTTCTGTTACACATTTTATAGATTTTTACACCCAAAGGTACAGCAGCAGCACTGTGGTGTCTTGTTTTTATTAGTCTTGATTATTAACTCTTTTTTTAACACAGTGTTCTGAAAATCAAGGTTTACTCGGTGTTACATGAAAAGTCTCCAAGCTTGCACATTAGATGAGCGACAGGAATATAAAGGCTACTGGCTGAGTCATCTCCATCATCTTTTGCCTTTTTTGTCATTTTATTTTGCTAATTTAATGGTCTGCCTCCAAAGACTACGAGCCGCTCAGAGACGTTCAGCTGTAGAGCCGGTGTATATTCACATCTAACTGCGGTGAATTAGGTTTACTTCAGCTCGTTTGACAACAGGGAACACATTCACAGAGGGAGGCGGGGGGCTTCAGAGAGGCAGCGACAGCGTGTAGAGCCAGAATATATTCACATCTAGCTGTTGGAGATGGTTAAACACCGTAGTTTGTGAAGAGTGTTACAAACAGTTTGGTGAGGGGTTTTTTTTTAGCACATTTTGCAGCCACTGTAGATTCTCCTTCACACTAGGAAGAGGAGGGTGAAGCGAGGGGGTTGCAGTCTGCACCTAGATGCAACCAAATCCTACACACTGGACCTTTTTAAGAAATATGACATCTTCATCCCCAACCTTGTTTTAGTTAACTGACAGCTGTATCGATTGAGAAGGTTTGTTTGTTTTGTGGCAGCTTATTGGCATCAGTAATTCATTTTGAAGTTGTTTAATTGATGTCTGACAATTCTTACAGAGATACAAACAATCAGATATTTTTGTATCATTACTGGTTAGGTTCTGCTGAAGGAGTGCAACGTGTCCCTGTGCCCGTCCTCCAGTAACTGTCGCTGGAACTCCATGATACTGTCTTTACGCCGTATGGTGCAGGAGTCTGCCTGGAGCGCCATCATGACTCTTCTGGCCCAGGCTCGCATAGAGGCTAACGACACAGCCAGCGCCCCGCCTCTGGTCATGGTCAAGAGGGAGCAAGTGATCGACATCCTCAGTCTGCTGGAGCCCTTTGGTGAAGCCCTGCAGGTAAAGAAGAACGTCATGTGTCATGTATGTAGTGGATTGTAGCCGTCACATGTAAGATTTTTAAATGTGGCGCCCGGTTAGCTCAGTCGGTAGAGCTGGTGATCCATATACGGAGGTGTTGCAGCGGCCTGGGTTCGAATCCGACCTGCTCATCCTCCTAAAGTTACACACTGGACCTTTTAATACTTATTCACCTCAGACAATGTCAGCCTGAAATAGCATTGTGCTGTTCCCAAAACAAAACCTAGAGTGGTATTTGTTTTTTTGGTGATAAATATATTATAGGCTGTGACAGACATTTGTTCTGAGTGGGGCACTTTGAATTATTGAACCAAAGCAAACAGAAACATTATGACAAATCCATTAATGTTGCAGCACGGAGGATTGATTCCATAGAAATGTTGTGTACATGTTTGGGGATACAGTATTATATGGTTTTTGTATTGTTTGATATACAGAAGATTATGTGAGATCATTTCCTTTTTGCCTCTTCCAACTCAGGTGCTGCAAGGAAACGGACTGACCATCTCTTTCATCATACCTTCCCTCGTTGGCCTTGATAAGACTCTTGAGAGCCTTGTCACCAACTACACCCACTTCAGCAAGGCCCTGCGCACAGGCCTCCACACACACTTCCAGTCCCTGATTCAACAGAAGGACATGGTACTAGCTGCTGTGCTCGACCCCAGGATCAAACTCCAGGTACTCAGTTAGTCCAGAATCATGGCTGTTGTATTCATTTCTGTGGAGCTCTGTGTTACACATGTGATCATAGCTCTCCATGCTCAGAATCAGAACTCTCACTCTGGCTTGAACATTTTTTTCCAGCCGTTTTCTGATGCCAAACTCGAGGACCAGACAGGTTTCCTGACACCTCTGTCAAAGAATCAGGCCCGCGCCATCTTGGAAGCCACATTAGGAAGCACGGAGGCCTCAGCATCTCCGTCGGTAGAGGCAGATAAAGACCAGATATGCAAGGAGTTGAAAAAGGAGCAGGATGGTGAAGAGGAGAGCCAAGCCAACGCACCGATGGAAACATCTGGTGGAAGCTCAGACGACAACAATTGCGACGGAGTCGGCGGAAACGACCTCAAGCGCAAATCCATCTTTAACTTCCTCCAGCCAGCTGCAAAGACCCTGAAGATGTCCGAGATTGATGTGTATTTATTAGAACCACTGTGGGAAAGCAACAACAGTTTGTTGTACTGGAAATCTGCTACTCGGTTCCCTCGGCTCCAGGGCCTCGCCAAGAAGCTGCTGGCAATACCGGCCACCTCCGGGGGCTTCGACCGGCTGTGTCCGATGGCAGCGTGCATTGTGAGAGCCAAGAGGAACCGCCTGCCACCTCATACCACAGAGAGACTGCTTCTGTACAAAAACTACTTAAAAACAAAGACTGTTAAAAAGCCCAGTGGGGCTAAACATTGATAGGTCAAATGACAGTTGACTAACCCAAAAGATCTCCACACTTGTCACATTGCATTAAACATAAACTCAGCACCCTCACTTACTATGAATTGCACTTTCACACCCAACTGACACCGTCCCCATGACTTTTCCCCCTTGACTAAATTTCTTAATTAGATAAAACTAACTGAATTATCATCGTTTCTACCTTGCAGTATAATTAACATCAGCAAAATATATTGGAAGTATATTAAAAATGAGGACAATCTACTCAGATCCTTTTTGTATGAAAACAAACACAGTGGCAACCAGCAGGACAACTGTAGCTGCAGACGACTGCAAGTGTTCAGAGTAAAAGGCAGATTTTCTTTGTCCTTCACGTTAAATTTCCAAAAAGATTATATGGTAGACTTGTTGTATTTGAGCATAATTCAACGCTGTAAAAAAATTAATCTTAAATATGAATTATGATGCCTTTTAAAAAGAAATGCAGTCCAGATTAGTGAACAGCAGCCTCATCACAGACAAAGGAGACAAAGAAGCACCTGTGGTCAGTCCTATAGAATAAACAATCTGTCTCTGTGACTCGAACTGGGTGTATTAAGAAAAGGAAGCAGTCAACGTTAGTGAAACAATTTAACGATGCTACAATGAAAGTGCTTTAACATCACTACACATTTCCCTCAATGCAGAAATGTAATATTTATTACTGAACAGATATACCGTTTAGAGGGCTGTTTAGTGCCTAAAGGTTTAAGTTACTGGAAATGAACTGTACATTTTTGTAAGCTGTATTTTTGTGTGTAATTTATTTGTTTTGTATGCTGTACACATCGACATGTTGAAGTGCAGATGGACTGTGTGTCGGGTCGCTTGGCAGTAAATTGATTGAGACTCGGCACCTTTTCAGCTTTTTATTAGTCTTTTACAATGTGTTTATATTTTTTATTTTGATTGATCAGTGATACTTTACGTTGTTGCAATGAATCTCAGGAGCCTTAATGATTTATCAACTATTGTTGCTCTTAACTTGTAATGTGTGATGGGGGTTGGTGGTCACTCTGGGTCTTAGTTTGACATTATAAGACTGTTCACATTGAATGACAGCTAAATGATTTTAGTGCAGTGGTCCTTGTGTCTCCACGTGGAAATATCCAGAGAATGTACTTTATTATATTATTAAAAAATAAAGCTATTTTCTCTACAGTTCCTGTACCTGTGGCTCGTGGTTTCACGTGTTCAAGTCCATTTTTGTGATTTCTACGAGGGCGATCTTGGGTCGAATATAACTAATATTGTAATCAGCTGACGGACAGGTTAGCATTTAGAGTAGTTTATTCCAAAAGATTAGGATGATTAGAAACTATCAAAAGCAATTAAATAACTTTTATTACCAAGATTTGGGATATATAATTATATATATATAATATATAATAATATTATTAAATGTTTTACTAATGTTTAGAAAATTACTGAGGCATTGCTGTAATTTAAATCTCTATTGAAATGTTTTTTATGGAGTATTTTAGTAAAAGCACAGTGAAGTGCCCCAATAATAATAATAATAATAATAATAATAATAATAATAATAACTAATAATAATAATAACAATAATATCAGTGATATTAGCAATGGCAGTCTAGCAGGACCATGGCAGGAGGCTCCACCAGGATCCATGAGAACCTGGAGGGGAGCGACAAAGGCACAAAGCAACGTCGGGAAGAAGGTGAAGGTTTAGCTAACATGCGATATTAATGGACGATGAATGAGGTGCAGAAAGAGGAGAGAGAGGAAGAGAGGAGGCTCAGGTGCACCATGGGAACATCCCTCGCGATAGTCTACGGCCCCTGATCAAGGCGAGCCGCTGACACTGAAGAGTTGGTTCAGACTCACCTGGGATTCGCCAGCCCTACACTATAAGCGTTTATCAACAAGAGAACGTCTCTCTAAGCGCCTACTCCTGTGAAATGTGGAGGAGGTGTCTGCCTCCAGAACACACACGTGGAAGCTGTTCCACCCCCCCACGCCCCGCCCCCACCCGCGCGGCGTGCCCCCCTCCCGCCGCGCCCCCCCCGCCCCCCCCGCCCCGTCGCCGCCCCGCGCCCCGCCCCCGCCCCCCGCCGCCGCCCCTCCCGCCCCCCCCCGCCCCCCCCTGGAGAGGAGCTTTGGTTAAGCTGAAGGGGCTTCTGGCTCCTTGTTCCTAACTTTTAGAACTATAGGAAGCCACAAGTTAGCCCAGCATTCAGAGAGACTTAGTGTTCTAGAGGGCGTCAATAGGGTTACTTATGTGGAGCTCTTCAAGATAAGAAGGGGCCTTACCATGACATAGCCTTTTATTAGGTGAGGAGCGGAGGATTTTAAATTCTATTCTAAAATGTTTACAGGGAAGCCAGATCGCAGAGAAGCTAGAACAGGGAGAGATATGGATCTCTTGTTCCTAGTTCCTGTCAGGTACTCGTGCTTGCAGCGTTTTTCAAAGTTTAATTGGAGCGGTTTTAAATGGATTATTAGGGCAAACCTGATAACAAAGGTCCTGCAGTATCCAGCCTGTGAAGTTAACAAGATGCATGGATTAAGTTTTTCTGCATCCGTCTGTTGAGTAGGATGTGTCGTAATTTTGTAATATTACGTAAGTTATAAATTAAGGCAGTTCTCATTGTCTTCTGCCTCTCCAGTTCCTTCCTTCCTTTCGTATATTTATACACCGCTATGACATCGAACCAATTGTTTAAAACAAACAGTGTTGTTTCCCTTATGGAAGGGTCCTAATGATAGTACTTCTCTCATTAACTAACATAATGCCGATACCTTCACTTTCTCTTGCAGAATCTAATGTCAGCTGACTGTTGAGTCAGCGTAGCGTTCATTTCTCTCAGCAACTAAGCAAATATGATCGCTACTTGTCGTGACCAGAATGGCTGGATTAGTATACACAATCCACTCTACTCGCGTACAATG